CACACACACACACACACACACACACACACACACACACACCTCCTCCCCCTTTGATTCCCACACAGAGACGGCATTCATCAGTAACAAGAAGCTTTGTTGTTCATTCAGCAGTATGACACTCAGCTGCTTCAGCAGAACTCATGTAAAGAAAACAGGATTTTAGAGAAGACGGTCTGACCCGATGACGTCAGTGACCTTACAGTGGCGTCACTGTGAGGTCACTGTGACATCACTGTGAGGTCACTGCCACATGTCGCTATGCACTAATGACGTCGATATAGTCACATCTAAAACTAAAAACCAACCAGACTTCAGTATAAATCCAGCAGAATGAAGCCGTATGCAGACGATACGCTGCTTTACTGCTCAGAGGAAACATCACAAGAACACAAGATAGAAAGAGAGCATCTGTGGTTTGGAGTCAAACAAGTGTGAAGACAACTTAGAGGCAGAATAAACTCTTTGTTCATTAGTGTCAGAGTGAGTCCAGGTGGTTTGATTGTTGAAGCCAACGTCACACAGACCGGATGTCTTTTCTTTTAACTACCAACAACACAGGACACTTGTACAGGTCCTCCGTCCTCTTCTTCCTCTACTGGGGCACATATACTACACACACATATATATACTGTATATATATATATATTTATATATACTATATATGGCCCATAATAGCTATGATATCTAGCGGGGGAAACAAAAGGTTGATGCACTTCCTTTGTGCCGTAAATGTTCATTATTCTGTAGACTGTAAAATGTGCAACATTTACTTCACAAAAGAAGATAAATATGTCTCTATTGTCACACTAATGTCTGCAAGCAGCTGGTTTCTTTCTTTTGTAGTTGATTGAATGTTTTCTGAGGTTTAGTTGAAACCTTGTCCTGGTTCATGTGGATCAGTCGGTCCAATCAGAACCAAGAGAAGACGTGTTTAATATCCTCAGACCCAACATGAGCTCATCATCTGTCTCACTACATTCAGACAGCAAAACCAACTAACTGGTCTAAAAACAGCTTCACGTGATAAGAAGAGAAACACGAAAAGACTGGAGGTCTACATAGTTCTGGTTCCAGTGAGGGTTCAGGTTCTGGTGGTCGGTCACATCAGTACACGTCGACCATCTGGGCGGGAGATTTAGTTCATTTTATGTTAAATATATAGTTGAGCCTCAGTTTTTATGATATTTTTAATCATTTTTAAAACAAAAAGGACCCAAAAATTCTCTAATTTCAGCTTCTGATATGTGAATATTTGAATATTTCTTTGGGTTTGGTTCAAAACATTGATATGTACTCTCAAAGACATGGGTTCATAACACTGTGAACGGCTGTAATAAAGACAATAAAGGTAATAAAGACAGTAA